CTGCTTGGTACCCAGAGCATCATGCATATGTCTTTACTACATTGCTCATCAATCTATTCTGAAATGATATGAACAATACTCATTTCCCCCCTCAAACTCTAAATTCTATTATCACAGAGCTAAGTTTTCTTACTCCTTTACATCATTGACTGACACTGGAAAATGCTGCCAATGAAGCAGCCCATTCCATTTTTGCTTGGATTTCACTGTTAGAAAGTTCTTTGTTAGGGTGAACCACACAGCTAGCCTCACTAACATCCACCTCCTGGGAGGAGGAAGCAGTTGGTTCTACCATCTTCCTCTCATAGAAGCTCTTCAGATGCTGAGGACACCTGTCACCTGTCCCAAGGGGCGTCCCTGATCATGTCCTGTGTTGTCCCCAGCAATTTCCCATAGAACTTCCTACTCTCTTCCCTCTAAACACAAAGAGCTTTTCCCTTTAACTCCTTATTTGTCATTGGTATCATGATGGAGACTATGGGGTCCATGGAAGCTGGGACATTCCCTGGGTGAGTCTCCTCTGAATGTCTTATGTCCAGCCCAGCATGTGACTCATTTTGTTGAATATGTGGGTGAATGGTTGGTTGAGGTCTTGAATGTGATAGAAAAATCAGGATGGTGAATAATTAAAGATAGGTTTAAGGGCCATCTGAGTGAGAATGGCAGCCTTAGGGCAAAAATTTCCAGTGACACCCTCAATAGAATCTTCTTTAAATGTCCAGTCTTGCTGCTTCACTAACTACTCACGGTTGGGAATGGACATTGTTTCTGTCCTGCGTTGTCCATTGTTGGAGTAGTGGGTGGTTCACGGTATTTCAGGGCAATCTGGGTTTGTCTGGGGGCTTAGAGTTTGCCAAGGGAGTTAAATATTCCTGATTTAAGTTTGCAGCTCCTTTAGTCTGTGATCGTCTTTCTTTCTTTCTTTCTTTCTTTTTTTTTTGAAGATTGGCACCTGAGCTAACATCTGTTGGTAACCTTCTTTTGTTTCTCTTCTCCCCAAAGCCCCCCAGTACATAGTTGTATATTCTAGTTGTAGGGCCTTCTAGCTCTGCTACATGGGACACTGCCTCAGCATGGCTTGATGAGTGGTGCTAGGTCCGCGCACAAGATCCAAACCGGTGAAACCCTGGGCCACTGAAGAAGAGCGCGTGAGCTTAACCACTCAGCCATGGGGCTGGCCACTGTGGCCATCTTTCTTCTCCACCTCATTCACTCAGGCAGTATTTACAGAGACATTCTTCTAGGCCTAGTGTCTTACCTTAGTCCTTGAAACTGAGTCAAACTACCCACGCCACTACCTTCCCATCCAATGCGACAAAGTCACCAGTAATAGCTGAACTCTTTGACAGCTGTCCCCCCAGCTAACTCTAGTCCATTTGATTCCAAACCTGCTGCCACCCAGGTGCCTATGGCTCACGCTCCCTAGACTCACAGTCTGAATTGACAGATTGACTCCAGTTCTGGCACATCATAAATCTCTCTTTGCTCCAGATTTTCCTCCAGGCATTTGGACTCAGGCCCTCCTCTCTCTTCCCTTAATTGGTTTGTTGCTTCAGCTCCATCATCACCTATTTCTCCTCCCAGTCTGTTTGGAGTCTCACCTCTGCTTTGGACCTAGACCATTGGGATGATAGATATTGAAACGTTCTACTGGGGCTATGCTCCTGTCTTTGACTTGGACTTCAAAATTTGGATTACAAGAGTCAGTGGCTATGTGTTGACTGGGGTGTGACCAAGCATCTTGTTCAGAGATGCAAGTTTCTGCTCTCCCATCTCATGCCCATGGCAGCCATCGCTAACTGATTGTGGCTTTTTCCCTACTGATTCTAGCTGTGACCTCACAATTCTTCCCAAGACAGCACTCTAGGCAGCCAGTACCAATCAATGGCCATTGCCATGTGGGGTGAAACTTATCTACCACCCCCACTAAGACTTCTTGATATAGGTCTCCTGTTCTTCCTGTAGCGAAGGTATGTTATGTAAAGCATGGGGCATGTGAATCACTCAGTAGCCTCTGACTTCATTCTGGTGGGCCTCTTCAGTCACTCAGGGTCACATCAGCTTCTCTTCTCCCTGGTGGCTGCCATGTTTATCATGGGGCTTCTGGGCAACACTGTTCTGCTCTTCCTCATCCACGTGGACTACCGGCTCCACACACCCATGTACTTTCTGCTCAGTCAGCTCTCACTGTTTGATATTGGCTTCCCTCTGGTCACCATCCCCAAGATGGCATCAGACTTCCTGCAGGGAGAAAGTTTCATCTCCTTCGAGGGTTGTGCAGCTCAAATATTCTTCCTGACGCTCATGGGTGTGGCTGAGGGAATCTTGTTGACCCTAATGTCCTATGACCGTTATGTCGCTGTGTGCCATCCCCTGCAGTATCCTTTGCTCATGAGGCGCCAGGTGTGCCTGCTCATGGTGGGCTCCTCCTGGCTGGCGGGTTTGCTCAATGCCTCCATCCAGACCTCCATTACTCTGCACTTCGCCTACTGTGCCTCCCGCATCGTGGACCACTTCTTCTGTGAGGTGCCAGCCCTGCTGAAGCTCTCCTGCGCAGACACCTCTGCCTATGAGTTGGCGCTGTCCACCTCGGGGGTGCTGATCCTTGTGCTCCCCCTTTCGCTCATTGCCACTCCCTACGGCTACGTGTTGGGGGCCATTCTACGCATGCGCTCAGAGGAGGCCCGAAACAAGGCCTTCACTACCTGCTCCTCACACATCACAGTAGTGGGACTCTTTTACGGAGCAGCCGTGTTCATGTACATGGTACCGGGTGCCTACCACAACCCACACCAAGACAATGTGCTCTCCCTTTTCTACAGCCTTGTCACTCCCACACTCAACCCGCTCATCTACAGTCTGAGGAATCGGGAAGTGAGGATGGCTTTGGTCAAAGTGCTCAGCAGTGCTGGACTCAGGTAAAAGTGATGACCACACAGCGGGCTACTGGCTGATTCCAGTGATCCTCCGTCCCACCCATCTCTCCAAAGCACCAATTTGTGGTGCAGCTGCTAAGGCCTTATGGTGAAAGCTAGGTGTCTTCCCAGCCTCTTCCCATCCCATGACTAGTTGGGTTCATGTTTTCTCCCATGGATTTGTAAAAATCAACTGTAGAGGTCCCAATCACTTTTAGTAAATTCTTTAGTACAATTTACATAAATGGAAGGCCCAACTTTGTAAAGTTGAGATCTCCCTGTTATTGAATTGATAGTTAAACTAGTAATAATTAACATTTGTTCACCAATTAATCTGCCAAGTGAAGTTATTTCGTCCTCAAGATGGCTTTTGAGGTGTAGGGACTATCATATTTTATGTGTAAGAAAAAAATGACTCAAAAAGGGAAGACAGCTCAACAGCAGTCATACTTCCAGAAAGTGGTAGAGCTGGGCCTTGAATCCATGATCTTATGATGCCAAAGATAGTCTCCCAACCACCGTGCTATTTGACTGACAAGCAGAGACTTGCTGACTGCCATAGATTAGAGCATGTGGTGTATAAAGATGGAAAATCACGCATATCTCTTTCTTTAATTAAATATGGAGTTCTTCATTTAGAAGATTAAAAACAAAGGCTCTAGGAGCTGGCCCCATGGATGAGTGGTTAAAGTTCACATGCTCTGCCTCAATGGCCCATGGTTTCATCGGTTCAGATCCTGGACATGGACCTAGCACCACTCGTCAATGCTGGTGGCATCCCACATAGAAAAACTAGAAGGACCTACAACTAGAATATACAACTATGTACTGGGGGGCTATGGGGAGAAGGAAAAAACGAGGAAAAATTGGCAACAAATGTTAGCTCAGGGCCAGTCTTAAAAAAAGAAAAAAAAATGCTGTATGTTTTCTTTTAAATTCAGCTTTGAAAAAAGTTTAAAACCAAAGTAACTGATACAAAATACCCGAAGTATACGCATCGAACATAAATCAATCATTTGTCTGCACCATGTGTCATTATATATTTGAGCCTTCTGTCTTTTGTCCTTCCTTCAGAAGCTAAAAACAAGTTCTTAGATTTTTAAAAAGACATTTAAAATTATATATTTCCCAAAATATAATGTTTGCTTTTTTGCTTCATTCCCTCTTGCTTTCCTTGAGATCCTTTTCTTCTTTTTATAACTTCTTTAATTTCAAGATTAAGTTAAACTTTTTTCATTAATTAACAAAATATTTTGGATGAAGTATTTCTACCCAATCAATACAGTATGTATTTCTCAGTGTTTCTAGTATGGTAATTCTGTATCGTTTATACTATTTTTAATAAAATATTTAAGAGGTATTTTTAAAGTTTCCTGTTTTGATCCATTTTGTAATTAATTAAAATTTACATTATTTCATCATGCTTAGATATTTTTGTTTGGAGTATTTTTATTTCTAGGAGTTAAGTTTTTCTTCCTTCATCTAAACATATGGTCAAATTTTATTACAGACCATAAACTGTAAAATATGTACACAGTTTATGCAGAAGATAGATTGGATATCTATCAAACAGATCCATTACACGCATAATGTCATGTGGAATATCCTTATGAATAATTTTATCTACTTGAATTGCTATAGTCTGTGAAAAGTGAATCAAAGTTTTTAGTTACACTTAAAAATTTGCCTTATTTCATACTGGTTTTCTTTTATGAGGAGGAATGTTTATTTTCCTCTGAGATTCGCAACATTTTGTGACATCTTTAAAGTTAACTCGTTTAATTCTTTTTATCATGAATCCAGGCCTGTTGGATGATAACTGCCTGATCCAGAAGAGGTTTAGTAGAAAACCTGAAGAGATCACAAACATCAAAGAAGTTAGGTGTGTCCACACGCCGCTCAAAGCCCCAGATAAAGATTGTTTTTCAAGTGGTCTTTAATAAAGCTATATGATACAGGCAAAGGCAATTTATAAAATTTGTACCAATAAATAAAATGGAGGCCTATCTAACCAATTTCATTAAGGCTAGAAGAATCTTGACAACCATTTGGAAAAGACAAGTGAAAAAATGATTTTTATCCCATTCCACTTACATGTCCAGATGAAATCATTGTCGTATCATGGTAGCTAATGGAATCCAATTGGGTACTAAAAAGAAGAACTTTAAGATTTATTCCTGGATCCAAATGCTGAAAGAAAAGCAGAAATTCTATGATTGCTTCTTGGGTGAATTATTCCAAACGTTTAAGTTAGAGAAATTAATAGTTCCCTAAAAACCGTTACTTCCCAATTTGTTTCGTGAAGCTAGCATTATTACTCAACGCCGTACCTGATAAAGACATTACGAGAAAAGAAAACTACAAAGCAAAATCTCTAATAAACATAGACACAATAATTCTTAACAGCATTTTAGTAAATTAGATCCCATGATATCTACTAAGAAACATACATTATGACCCAGTGAGAGTATAAGGAATTCAAGTTTCACATAACATTCAAATATCAATCAATGTAATTCACTCTATTAGCAAACTAAATAAGAAAAACTGTATGATCATCTCAATAGATGTGTAAAAAGCTTTTTAGAAAGTCCAAAATACCGTACTATCAAAATTCTTAGCACAGTAAGACAGAAGGGAACTTCCTTAACTCAATAAAGGCCATCTACAAAAAAACTACTGCTTGCATCATACTTCGCGGACAAAGAGGAAATGATTTCCCCTAAGAACAAACAAAACGAGAATATCCATTCTCGGCACTTCTCTTCCACCTGTACTGTGAGCTCCATAAATTGAAATAAAAGAGGAAAAGTAAGCGAATATAACTCAGATTGAATAGAAAAAGTAAACAGTGTTTATTCACAGACAACAAGATCATCTATATAGAAAATCTGATGGAAAATTAAGAAAAAGAAAAGCTAAACTAATGAGTGAGTTTAGCAAAGTTGCATGATCCAAGAGCCACATAGAATAACCACTGGTATTTCTGCATCCTGGGAAATAATCACTGTGATATGAAATAAATGCAAATGAAATAAAGTTAAATGATAAATTGTTAGTCTAAAATGTAACTATATATTTAATTTAATTATTCAATTACACAATTACATATTAATTACTTAACCTATGAAATTATTAAATGAAAATTAAATTATTCTCCTTAGAATTGAATAAAATATGATATACTTAGAGATAAACTGATAAAAGATGAACAAGTCTTGCACACTGAAAAGTACAAAATCATGCTTAGAGTAATTAAGGAAGACAAAAGTGGAGACATATATTTTGTTCATGTTTTTGCAGGTTCAACATTGTTAAGATGTCACTTCTTCCTAAGAATGTTTATTAATTCAGTGCAATTCTAATCACAGTCACAGTAAGCATTTCTTTTTTTTTTTTGGTTTAAATTGAATAGCTCATTCCAAAATTCATGTAGGAATGCAAAGGACCTAGAATAGAAAACTGCTGAAAAAGAACAACAAACTTGGCAGAAGAATCTTAAGTGATTTCAAGTCGTTTGATAAAATTAGAGCAATAAAGATAGTATACCATTTTCATAGAGATAAGCAAGTAGATCAATGAAAGAGACTAGAGTCCAGAAATAGATACACACACCTGGACAAAGGTGCAAATGCAAATCTATGGAGAAAGAAAAGTCTTTTCAACAATAGGCTGGGATGTTTGATATTGATGTGTAAAAAAATAACTTTAATTCATAACTTGCAGTGTATACAAATATTAACTCAAAATATCTAACAGCCCTCAGGAATTCAAAGATTAAAAAAAGAGTGATAATTTGGACTTCCCCCAAATTAAGAATTTCTGCTTTTTGAAAGACACTCTTAAAAGAATGAAAAACAAGTCACATAGTGGGTGTAAACATTTGCAGCTCATATATCTGATAAAGGACTCTTCCTCCCTAGAATACGTAAAGAACACTCAAAAACTTAATAAGAAAGTAAACAACCAATTTTAAAAAATGGGCAAAATATTTGGACTGAAACTTCACCAAAGAAGATATATGGCTTTCGAGTAGTATATGAAAAGATGTTCAACATCTTTCCACAATGGAAAGGCAAGTTAAGAGTGGAATACCATTACACACCTATTAGAATAAACAAAATTTAAAAAGACTGGTCATGTCAGGTATTTTCAAAGATATGGGGGAACTAGAACTCTTATACATGCTAAGGAACATTCACGAGGGAAAATACATTGGCAATTTCTTAAAAGTGAAATATATGCCTACCATACGATCTAAACATTGCATTATTGGGTATTTATCCAAGAGGAATGAAAGCACATAAATATACACAGGTAAATTTTCATAGTAGCTTTATTTGTAATAATCAAAAAATGGAAAGTATCGGAATATCCATCCACAGATGAATTGGGTAAACAGACTGCAGAATATCCATAAAATGGAATACTGATCAGTAAAGAAATGAATTAACTTTTGGGGCCAGACCAGTGGCATAGAGTTAACTTCACATGCTCCATGTTGGCAGCCTGGGGGTCCACGACCTTGGCTTTTGGTCATGGACCTACACACTGCTCATCAAGCCACGCTGTGGCAGCATCCCGCATACAAAACAGAGGAAGATTGACACAGATTCTAGCTCAGTGACGATCATTCCCAAGCAAAAAGGGGAAGATAGGAAACAGATGTTAGCTCAGGGCCTCTCCCTCACCAAAAGAAAATATTAACTTTTAAGATATGCAACAATATTGATATATCTTAGAGTAATGTGTCAAATGAAGGAAGTCAGACAAAAACGAGTACATACTATATGATTCCAGAAGTTCAAACTAATCTATAGTGTCAGGAAGCTGAGGGGTGGTTGCATGGGTAAGGCAGGCCATCAAAAGGGGCGCAAGAAACAGTTAGGAGTGATGGAAATGATCACTGTCTGAATTGTGGTTTTGGCTTCATGGCTGTGTAAGGACATCAAACCTGGTAAATTGCAATCTTTAATTATGCACAGCTTACTTTATGTCAATTATGCCCTGATAAAGCTGTTAAGCAAACATGTACTGATAATGCATGGATCATATTCTGTTTAGGTTGGTGGGTCTCAGAAACCCATCTGTATTCATCGGAGCACATTTCAATCATGCCCTACTGAGTAGTGGGAACCTAGACTGAACTTTTTTCTCCTGACTTGACCTCAGGCCGAGAGAATCAGCGTCTCAGGATGCTTGTATGGCACACACTCTGGGCACTAAGAGGAGGTTGGGGTCCCACCAGTAGGGCTTGGAGGGGTGTCTTTGCCTCACTCAGTCTGAGCCCAGTAGGAAATGACCATGGGATCAGATCAAAGGGAGGGCATGAGAGGGACAGTGGACCATGAAAGATGTTGACTTCTTTCTTCTCCCTTGAAGAAAATGGAAGATAGTAGAAAGCTAAAGAAGGGACAAAACGTTCCAAATTCATTGGTCTGTTATTGCAGCTTCGGTGCACACCTTTGAGAACTCTCAAGGGTATTTGATGCA